CGGCAGTCGTCTCTTCGCGTCCTGTTCGATATGGGACTCATAGCGAGTATACAACGCGTGTAAAATGCATTGTTTATTTACATGAAATTCGAACATGCGCTGCGCGACGACCACCGCGCTTTAAACGAATCATCCCCGTTTTTTGTTTTGTTTTTTTTTTGTTCTGCTGGGTTGTTTCTGGCACTTTTTCGTATTTTGGGGGCCGAATGTGCAATTTGCTAATCTGAGTTCTTTACGCTGTGCGCGTTCAAATTCCTTTCAAAATTGTTTGCAATTATTTTCATGAAATCGCCCTGTACACGTTATAATCCACAGTATTCCCACAACGTACGTAATACGATTTGCAAGAAAATTAGTAGATTCAGTGATTAGTTTATAAGGCAAGATGTTGAATGAATAATGTTCTGTTTTCCATCGTCTTACAGATGCGAGGTACGGCCGGGGCCCGAGTTTTTGGCTCGAAAGTACAAGTTCCACGCCGATTCCACGTTCACACTGTTCCAGTATTACTATGCTGATAACCATTGCACCACCCCGCTATATTCACTGAAACTAAGGGGCAGTATACAGATTGACGAACCGTCATGGATTATCAGAGGCGGGACAAAAGCTGAATACGAACTAGATAGGGTGCTTGTTACGTCACATCGGGTGGACATCACGGAATTCTTGGTTGCCAAAGTGAATGCTACCTGTCCTGGGTTCATCTCCCCACAAGAAACGTGGGTTACGAACATGAGGTACCATGTTTTTAGTTGGCATGATGACAAAGATTGTTTAGAGGCGCTTTCATTTTCTATGCACGAACTGCAACTTTTACGAGTGGAGATTCACGAGCGAGTAGACCCGAAGACCCGAAGTACAAATTTGCGAGAAGAGCTTTTCCTCGGCGATGTGCACACAGACATTAAACAAAGAATGTACTACAGACCGACGAGCTATCAAACGCCGCTGATGAACATCAAACAGCAGGTTCGTATCTCATTGCTAAAAAAACGCAGCCTGCATTCGCATTTTATTTAAAGTAACACTGGATAGAGTAAATAAACTTTAAAATTATGACCATATAGCGTAAGTTAATAACTACGCAGCCCAAGTAGACAAGTACAGACAGATGTGAAAACACTTGGTAAAATAGGATCCATACGTTGAGTGACTCTCTATGCAGACATGGTAGCGTATGTCAAACAACTCGCTTTACTCTCACGTTAAGGTCAGCAGCAACGTAGGGAAACTATTCTGGTTTAACAGCAACATTAACTAATACCCCCCACACACACCTACACCCACATCACTTTCTTGCACAATAACAAATATATTTCAGATATAATCACAAAATTTGTCTATAGCACAGGGTCGCTCCCGGTTGCATAGACATGTACAATAATAACATGGCGTGTATCACGCCGGACATCACTCTCGTTCGGTCGTAATTAAAGGCCATGGTGGGA